GAGGAGGGGGAATTAGGGCGGGGACTTTGGGGAAGGGGCGGGGAAAGGGCGGAATTGGGGTGGGGCCAGGGTGGGAAAGGCGCGGGGCCAGGGCCCATGGAGTGTCCTCATTTTTTATTTTTTAAATATGGTATAACCCTAATGTTAAAGCTAAGGCAAAGTTAGCATATCTATATTGGGATCTTATACCCAGAAAAGTAAGGTTGACCTTCATCTTGTTACCCAAATAGATAAAGGACCCCGGCCTATGTCTAAGATCTTTACCTAGACCAATAGACAACGAAGAATGGCATAGGAGGGGTTTCAAAGTTGTACCCACAGACTTAATAAGTACACCACAAGTACACACATACCTGTCATCGATACGCACATACATATGAGCCTATGGGGTAAGTGTAGCCTAACATTTCTGTGGGGGAGGAATGAAATTTGGGCATAAGAGGAAGGATTTCCGGCACTTAGGTCATATAAAAGAGCTTCAATCATCATCTATTCTAGATCTCTTCATCTTCAACTAGCCAGGAGACTCGAGGAGTATGTGACAGGCATCCTTAGATCTCTAGAAATCTCACCCGAGGCATAAGTAAATGGTTAAAATTACAGAGACTTACAAATAGTGTGTTTCACCCACTCTTTCTTAAGAAAACAGAAACCTAATTTCCTGTGACTGCAGCTTGGCAGCAGTCCCAGTATTTCCAGTTTTGTATTGTGGTTTTGACTTAGAAGTTTAATTTTAAGGTTTTTGAATATAATACTGCAAGATTAAATAATATTACTTTATAATATTACTTTTTAAGTAATAGTGTTATTGTTAAAGTGGTATGCGCATCTAAGGGGTTTTGTAAAGGTTGAAGTTATAACGAATGGTACCGATAAGACATTAGCCGTAGCACTGGATCTGATGACCCACACTAGTGGTGGCGGGGGAGCTGACAAATCTAGGTATTAATTGCTGCCAAAAGGCCGCAATAGTTCAGAACTTGAACAGTTCAAGATACCTTATCTCAGTCCCCTTAACTCTCCATCTGCCTCAGTATTTCCCAGTATTTGGCAGGTCCCGACAGAGGGAAAAGACCTCTCGAGTAGCTACGAGCCGAGGGAAGAGAGGGAACATACCCCCATCCCTCTATTATTTACTTGGGACTTAGGGGTGTTATTTCCTGTTGTTTCTGTGAAGGGACACCTTCAGTTTCAGAGTAAAACAACAGAGTATTCATTCTAGTTGATTGAAGAAGCTAGTGAAGTTATATAATTGAAATGAGTTCTATATTTCTTGTTAGGAGTGGAGTAAAGGCAAGAGTGGAGTCTGTTGGAGTTGCCCACAGTCTGGCTTTAGAAAACTTTGCCAGAAAATATATTCAGGAACATAGAGGAGATTTAGAACAGCTGAGAAATAGCGAGATGATTTCTGAGCATGGTAACCCACGGGGTTTTGTAAGTGAGGTATTTGATGTAGAAACAGAGCTGAAAAAGAAAAAGGGCTAAACAGGGAAGAGATGTTGAATGCCTGCTTGTGGCTTGTAATTTGCTGGGAAAGAAATTGAATAAAAAAGTAGGGTTACTCAGGGAAGCCCAGCAAACTTTGGATGCCAGCTTAAAACCGCTGGAGGGCTCTAGATCAGATCGTGGTCAGCTGTTGGACAGAATTAGAGAATTAGAAAAGAGAAAGATGTGTCAGAGGAGGATAAAGAATTGATTCCCATCCCTATTGGCACGGTGGAACCGACGGAGGTAGAAAAACCTGCAGGGCCAACTACTAGAAGTAGGGCAAGAGAATTAGCTCAGGCTGATACAGTACCTTTAGGAGCGGAGTTGGAGATTGAGTCTGAAGAGCCACGGGGAGAGTCAGAAGAGGAAGTTAGCAGTACAGAAGATACCGGCAGTTTGAAGATAGGAAAAGGAATTCCCAGGGTGGCACCACAGGAGGTGGAGCTGAGTGCCCTAGAAAAGGCAGCTAGTGATGTAAAGGAGGAGTTGAGCAAAGCAAAAGGGGAGGAAATATCTTCTCCCCTGTTAGTGTCCGCCTCTGATAGTCAAGAGGCAGTGCCTTTAGAGACTGTCATTGTTCAGGGACTAGAAGATGCAGTGTCACAAGTGACACGAGTAGCTAGTGCATGTGATGAATCTGTAAGTTACAACAACCAAGGAATAGAATTCCTGCTTCTCCACCCAATATTACATTAGCACCATATAGAGTACAAGATCCAGCCCCTTTGGGTGGATATTTATTGGGATTTGGGCAAACAACATTGCCTAGAGCCCGTGGACTCTCTACACCTTGGTATATGCTGGTATCACCTAGTGTACCAGTAGAACACCCTACTACACCACACCTTAGCAGACCAAGAGATGTCCTGCATCAGTGTAGCCTATAGGACTAACCTGCTTGCTTGCATATATATGTATCTTTTTTATAGTTTAAGTATTTGGTTTATTGTAATAGGTTTATAGATTTATATTAAAGTAAGTTTGGCTGTAATGCAAGAGACCTACAGGCCACATCCTGTATGTTAATATAAATGTGCTAACTTTGCCTTAGCTTAAGACTTTTACCCAGGAAAGTAAGGTTGACCTTCATCTTGTTACCCAAATAGATAAAGCACCCATCCCTACGTCTAAGACCTTTACCTAGACCAATAGACAATGAAGAATGGAATAGGGGGGTTTCAATGTTGTACCCACAGACTTAACAAGTACACCACAAGAGACTGATGTGCATACATACCTGTCATCAATACACACATACATATTAGCCTATGGGGTAAGTGACCCTAACATTTCTGTGGGGGAGGAATGACATTTGGGCATAAGAGGAAGGATTTCCGGCACTTGCCCTATAAAAGAGGTGACCCACCTTGCTAGAGCTCTCTCTCCACTCTTACTTACTCCACTCTATCGTTTCTATTCTTACTTCTTCTATTTCTACACTATCTTTATATCAATTCTATCTATCTACGATGACTGCTATTATTAGTAGGCTGTACTTGTTCTTCTTAAACTTTAAGTTTCAAGGGAACTAGGCTAAGCTTGGCTGCCTTAAGTTTTATTCTTAAACTTAAAATCGAAACCTAATAAAACTAAGTTAGTCAAGTAAACCCTAATTTAGTTTTGATAGCTCCTAGCATTAGATTTCCTCTAAGCACTGCATCCCTCACTCAAGAATTGAGAAACCTGGAACTGCAAGGCTGGTCCTGTGTCGCTTACCCCCAGGTTATCGAGGAAGGGTGTGAGTATATTAACCAAAGCTTTGTTGCATATACTACTATATTATCATATGTATCTTTTGAATAGCAGTAATGCAATTGTAACTTTGTAACTCTGGGTATTTTACCATTGGCTTACTATTTCACTGATTTTAATAAAAAGTCAGTAAGGCTATATCTGTCTCAGTGTCATACCCTCGAGGGTCCTTTGTAAATTCTGTGGAGCCTGAATCAGGACAAGAACTTTTATCTTCTGATCAAACAGATTGGCGAGCCTAAAACCCATACTAATTAATATTATTTAATAATATCAATAATAATTAATCATTAAGTAAAAATTAAATGAATAAATTAAATTCACATATTAACCAAATTAATATTATCAATACACCCTAAATCAGGCTACAGGCTGGCGAGCCAGAGCCAGGAGTCTCGAGGCGTGTGTGACAGGAATTGTCAGGGATTCCAGGCATCCTTCGATCCCTGAGAATCTCACTTGAGACATAAGTAAATGATTAAAGTTACAAAGAGTTAGAGATTGTGTGTCTTACTCACTCTTAAGAACACAGGAACCTGATTTCCTGTGGCTGCGGCTTGGCAGCAGTCCCAGTATTTCTGGTTCTGTGTTGTGGTTTAATTTAAAGTTTTAACTTATAAGTTTTGAATTTAATCTTGCAAGATAAAGTAATGATATTATTTAAAGTAATAGTGATGTTATTTAAAAAGTAATACGTGCATTTAAGGGGCTTTGTTGGAGGTGGAAGTTGTAACGAATGGCATCGATAAGATATAAGCAGTAGCATCGGGCCCGATGACCCACACTAAGTGGTGGCGGGGGAGTTGATAAATATATGTATTAATTGTCGCCAAGAGGCCGCAATAACTCAGAACTTGTATAGTTCTTCAGTCCCCCAACTCTCCCAGGCTGCACCTCTGATCCGTCTGCCTCAGTTCCCCAGCTGTTTGGCAGGTCCCAACAGAGGGAAAAGACCTCTCGATCAGCTACAAGCCATTGAGGGAAGAGAGGGAAATGCACCCCCACCCCTATATCATTTACTTGGGACTTATTGAACTAGGTAGAAAACCGGTTTGGGGTATTATTTCCTGTTGTTTCTGTGAAGGGACGCCTTCAGTTACAGAGTAAAGCAACAAAGTATTCATTATAGTTTATTACAAAAGCTAGTGAAGTGTTAGAATTCAAATGAGTTCTATGTTATGTGTTAAGATGAGTGGAGTAAGGGCAAGAGTAGAGTCTGTTGGAGTTGTCCACAGTCTGGCTTTAGAAAACTTAGTCAGAAAATACATTCAGGAACATGGAGGAGGTTTAGAATAGCTAAGGAATAGCGAGTTGATATCTAAGCATTGTAAACCATGGGGTTTTGTAAATGATGTATTTAGCCTTCCTTTTTTTTTCTGCTTCGTTTCTATATCAAACTGATGAAGAAAATAGCTGTTAAATGTCTGCTCGTAGCTTATAGTTCACTGGGAAAGAGATTAAATAAAAAAATTACAGTTACTCAGGAAAGCCCAGCAAACTTTGGATGCCAGCTTAAAATCACTGGACAGCTATGAATCAGACCGTGGTCGGCTGTTAAAAAGAATTAGAGAGTTGAAAAAGATGTGTTAGAGGAGAATAAAGAATTGGTTCCCGTCTCTATTGGCATGGTGGAACCGATGGAGACCGAAAAATCTGCAGAGCCAATTACTAGAAATAGGGTGAAAGAGTTAGCTCAGACTGACACAGTACCTTTAGAAGCGGAATTGGAGATTAAGCCTGAGAAGCCACAGGGAGAGTCAAAAGAGGAAGTTAGCAGTGCAGAAGCTACCAGCAGTCTGCAGGTAGGAAACGAAATCTCAGGGTGGCACCACAGAAGGCGGAGTTGAGTGTCATCATAGAGGAAGCAACTAGTGATGTAAAGGGGGAGGAAATATCCTCTCCTCTGTTAGTGTCCGCCCCGATAGTAAAAACGGAGTGCCTTTAGAAACAGTAATTGTTCAGGGACTAGAAGATGCGGTGTCATAAGTGACTCGAGAAGCTAGTGCCTGTGAGATAGTAATCTCTAGGTTACAACAGAGAGAGATACCACAACCAAGGATGCATTGGCACCATATAAAGCAGGAGATCCTGCCCCTTTGCCCAAATGCCAATAAATGTTCACCCAATCATCCACATTGCCTAGGTCCCTAGAATTTCGTGAACCCTCTACACCCCTTTGGTGTATGCTGGTATTGTACGGGGAGACTTTGGCAAACCAGTAAAGTGCCTGAAACCACTATGGCTTATTGTTAAAGGCGGCCTAGTCAGCAAGCTGTAAATTGGCCATTCAGCAGTCTCAGCAGTTTTGGGTGCCTCAGAAAGGGCAGATTGACCCCGCATCCTTCCTGATAAGAATTGTGTTGAAGTTGCTGATACATGCATTTTAAAAGAGCAGGATGTGTCACAGGAATGTCTATTGGGGTCTCAAGGCTGCAAACTCTGGAAAAACCCACACCCAGTTAATCAATAATCAGAAGGAGCCTCTTGCTTGCCCATTGGAACTGTTTGCTTAACAAGTTTTCTTTAAGGGACATGTCATTCTATTACTAATGTATAAATAAGGGGGAAAAGTTTGAGATAGTTGGACTCTTTTTGGACTCTCCCTCTGGATACATCTTGCGGTCCCCACCGGCAGACGGAAGATTTGGCCACCGGAAGCCTGCTGCTGTATCACTCAAGAGCCACACTTAGCTTTGGTAATTATCAAGGATTGGGGGTGTTTTATTAACCTGTTGCGGACGTGTGTAAGTGCTTGAGATTAAGTAAAGTTTAGCTTTAAGTGAAAGCACTTTTGTGTTGTCCTGTTTGTACCAGCCATCTGTCGGTCGGTCGGCCGTGTCTCCCCTGATTTATTTCCTGACACCACCTTGCACAGAGTAAAAGTTACCAAGAGCTTTGGGTTGAAAGAACCCCGGGTAACAGGTGCAGGTCGTCCCTTTCTAGCTCGTCTTGGGCCGTTAGCATTTGGTGGGCAATGAGACCACCCACTTCTGAGGGAATGGAGGTCTCTCCTTTACAGCGCTTTTCGCTCTGGCCCATTGGAACACCCCTGGCTTAAGGACCATCCTGTAAGGAGGGCTTGGGTCTCCTTTGCCATGCAAATTAAGCCACAGGTCACTTTGACACTCCCGGCAAAATGACTGCCCTGTAACCAGGGTGTAAGGTCTTATCCCTCGCACGCTTAAACCAGGGGAGCCTTTTCATGCCTCTGGTTGAGCGACTTCTCCCCCACCCCCCACCCCTTGAGAAAGGTTGAGCTTCTGTTTCTCTTAGTCACAGTAAATTCCCACAGAATGATTTCTACCTGGCTTTTTTGAGATTTGAAGTGAAATCTTACTTGTGACCTATCCCGGTCAGATGGCACATGGTGTGGCGAAGGGGCGGCTGTAAGGGGATGGCGGAGGCCATGGAAAATGTGCCCCTTTCCTCAAAAAAGCCAAGAAATGGCCCAACCAAGCAAATGTCACAAAGTCTGGAAATGAACAGGTGAGGTGGGGGGCTCCTTTCAGACTCTCACTTCCGCAGAATCCTTCCTCAAGTCCTTTTGCCCTGCCCAATTTACACAGCTCAACCAACCACAACTTTCACCCTTTGTTTTCTTGTGCACAAGAAAGAACACTGTCGGACTGATGAGTGTCAACTGTAGAGATTCGGACAGCTCCGTAAGTTGTGTCCGAATTCCAGGCCTTGTGTCTCTTTGATGATAGACAGAGGAGATTCCTAAGGCTATATTTGAAGGGATTGACGTGGCGGTCCTTTCTGAAATGTGTTGATGCTCATATGTTGTAGGTAGATGCGGTGGTATTCAGAGCTGGCACGTGGGTGCATCTAACTCTACTAACAGGACCGTGTCACAAGTAAGAGGGGTCTTTTCTGGTAAAGGTAGGGGGCACAAAGTTGTCATTTTCTTAGTGGGGTAGGAGGTAAGTCGGGAAGAGTGTTGCTGAGGGATGGAGGATTGATTGGAA